GCTGCATACTCCTCTTGACAGATGTGGATTCGAATCGATTGCGATGATAGTATAGCTGCTGCAGCTACCACCATTACCACAACTACTACTCTCTCCAACCAAAAGTGTTGTGGAAGTCCGACTTAGTGACTTACCTGAGTCTTTTTCACTCCTACTACCTACTGCGCCATTACATAAGCTCGTGCAAGAAAAACAGAGAGCCCCCCTCGTCCGTATACATTCCTGTCACATTGGGTTTCGAGGCCTCCGCCGACATTTAATCAAATATTTCATCTTGAATACTTTAAGGACATAATGTAGACCTGTGGCTGATAAACCCCCCTCCTTCTAAAGGCCTTATTACGAGGATCCCTAGTATAATCCCTACTACGTAGAGGGAGCTTATCAATCATGAATTCTAATTGCTCCGCTAGCCTGGCCAGGACACATCCGTACAACCTTAAGGTTTATTAAGGTGTAGGGCTTTAGGGTTTAGGGTTTGATGTAAGATTTTCCGTGTGCTAACAGTAACAGGCCCAGGACTCAGGCAGATGCAAACCACCCCGCGCTCAAAACATGCCTTAACAATTGGAACCCTGAACACCAAAAACTGTGGATTTTTCAGTCTGGTAAACCCGAATATGTGATCGCAAGCTTTTTCTTTTCATGTCAGTTATGCCAGAAAGTCCGGTGCAAGATCCGAAGCTCTTTAGGCCCTGAAACCTAATTCCTAATCCCTAAGCCTAAATCTCGACACCCTACCTCTAGACCATAAAATCCCTAAGCCAACCCTAAGGCGCTAACCTAAGGGTTCTTTCATCCATACCCCGCGATGCGCAATGGAGCTGCGGGCTGATCCACAAGGCTTCGGTATTAATGTAGGAGCCAAACTGATCAGAGTAGGGCTTAGGGTTTCAGGGTTCAGGGTTTTAGGGGTTGGGGTTTTAGGGTGGATGGTGTTTGGGTTTAGGGTTTAAGCTCTGGTTGTAGTGTAGGATGCCTGCAAGAGCGGTTTTATAGAGGTTCTAGAAGGGGATTACAAGAGGGATAAGAGGGGTATGTAAGGTTTAACATGTAGGGTTCTAAGGAATCCCAACAGGATGTGGAAATCAAGCGGAGAGGAAAATACAAAGTGAAACGGCAACACTTTTTTGTTTACTTTCTTTATCTGGGGTGGTGTGGAGGGAATTGCATGTATTATTCTATTTGGTTATATAAGGAACACGAGGCAAGAATATTGGCAATGATTATTCAGGCTTCTCCAATACCTTGCTCCAAACGAAACGTTTAGGGTTGCACGTTTGAGGTAGGATGTGGTAAATCCTAACCTATAATCCCCCGTGTCTCTTCAGGACCACTGTCCCATACAGCTGGGGCCGGTACAGGGTGCCAAGTTATTTGGGCAAGGCTACCATGACGTAGTTTGCAGGGACAAAGGGTTTCACCAGGTGCGTTTCGTTTTGTCCTACAAGCCTCAGTCGTGTGGCCCCTCAAGACAACAACTGCTAACACCGATGCTGTGTACTGCACAGCTCTGGTGTGCTTAGCCATTTTCCCTATTTGCATGCCATACATGCATGGCGTTGCCTGCTCATTCTAATGCTATGGCAGCATGGTTGCATACACGCCCTAAACCCTAAACTCAAATCCCAAATCCCGGACTTTAAACCTTGAGGTATCTCTTATCTCACCCACCAATATATCCACTAGTAGGCAATCGGACCACCAACGCCGGGAGCTTCAGGGTTTCGGGGCCTATGAAGCTCGATCGATGTGGTTGTAATCATTCTGATTGATAATCTAAACTCTTTGAAGGGGGGGTCATATAGGGGATTATGTAGCGGACTACTATAGGATATTAAGGGGGATACTAGGAGTTCCTTGAAGGTTTGCAGGGTTCACATTGCTAGTACTTGATGGGGAGTGAGTGGATCCTTGTAATGATTCTTGTAAGATCCCCATGCTCCCATAATGGTATTTACCCATAGTTCCTCGCCCACTTCCCCTGAAGCATGAGGGATGGGCACAGTTGGACAGTGGTGCCTGAGGGGTCGAGGAGTGGTGGTGGTTTCGCACAACCGGGGGTCCTCTTACATTTTCCGCATGTACAGTAGTAATTATATAGTAGTCCTTATGAAAGGTTCCGGCTGTATGAGTTGACAAAGCTGTTTTTCATCACAGAACGGCCCAGATAGGGCCCCTAGTTTTCGGAAACTCTTTGGTTGCGTGATGTTGCGTGTAAGTCATGGCAACCAGGCCATCCACAGTTTGCATGCTTGGGCTTCTGCATCTGCCTGGCTCAAATCATAGGTTTTCCAGTGCATTGTTGCCGTTTTAGTCTTTGAAGCCATGGGCGCGCTATCCGATGTGTGCGGACTTGTGCGAAATTACTGGTCGGTCCTTCTTGGCAATATCTTGGAATGGTACGAATTCGCAATTTACGGCTTCCAGACAGCAGCCGGCAGCGGGGATTAAGGTTGTGACGCTGTGAGTCAATCATTTTTGTCAATAAGCCTTGAGCCAGCTTTTGCATGGCACACTGGGATCGAAGCGCAATTTGTGGTTGCATAATGTAGACTCTGCTTTGTGCCTAGCTTGCAATCAGGTTACATGGCAAGCTACATGGAGCAGAACTTCTTCCGTGGCTCAGCGCTTGCAACATGGTTAGGATTTACCGCAACCTTCGTTGCCCGCCCCTTGGGTGGCATTTTCCTGGGCATCTTGAGCGATTTCTTCGGTCGGAAACTGGGTTGCGGTCAAGGAATTCTTGGGACAAGGTTTTTTCATAAGGAAGCCTGTTACTTGTGAATCATCCACACATTTGGTTTGTCGCAGATCAGGGGTATGATTTTGGGACCCCCCATCATAGGATTTTAATATTTTGGGCTTTATATTGGAGTCCCCGTATTTAGGGAAACTACCATATTATGTCAACTGAATTTGGGTTCCAGAACAGCAGCCCAGGAAATTGGCAGTGGTGCTTACCATCTTTGGCATGCTGACCGCAACCGTTGGTCCCTCTGCCTGCCCTTAACCCTGATCCCTAATCCCTAACCCCTAAACCCTGACCCTAGCCCCTAAACTCTAAACCCCTAAACCCCTAAACCCTAAACCCTAAACCCTAAACCCCTAAGCCCCTAACCCCTAAGCCCTAAACCCTAAACCCTAAGCCATAGCCTTGAGCAGTAACTTCCGTAACGATTTTAGGGAAGCTAAGAACCTTCTAAGGAGTAGCTTCCAGGTAGCGTCTGGCAACGATATGTCCTTCCCGAAGATAGCGCATTCGTGCTAGGGATTTCTGAAGGATCCGCTTCTCCCAAGACTCGCTTGGAAGTCAAGGGTTTCAAGTTCAGGGCTGAGGCTCTAGCAAATTCAACGGTCTATACAAAGATACTGCAAGTGCTTGTCTCAGAGAATACTTGAGTGTGTCTGCAATCCTCCCAGGCTGCACCTGGTCCATGTTGCCTACTCTTCAAATGTGCCACGCAGACCCCCCGAGGAAAAAGCCCCTAAACCCTAAACCCCAAACTCGTAGACCTAAAATGATGTACCTATTTGGGTTTTTTCCCGAAATTGGGGATACCTTTCTGGGTGTCCCGAGAATAAGGGCAATTGTATTTTGTGGTCTATGTTGTGGTCCCCCCTATTTTGGGAAACTACCATTTTTTGGATCTAAATAGGAACAGATGGCCCGGACAGGTTTGGAGATGTCAGTCTACGGTTTAGGGTTTACTGGGTTAGTGATCATTTATGGTAGTTTCCCAAAGTAGGGGACCATAGGGGACCCCAATATAGACCCCAAAATACTATAATCCTTATTATGGGGACCCCCAAAATAGTACCCCTAATTTTGGGAACCCCCCTTATACTGTTGGCGTATGCCTCTGCAGAGACGATCCTTTTTTCCCCTCTTTGAGGCCATGCAGCGCAAAGCGCTAATCGTGTAGCGCTGCTCATTTTGGTTTTGTGTAAGTTTGCTAGCCTGGCCCCTAAAGTTTCAAGCCCCAAGCCCTTAGCCGGTTTGAAGGTCAGGGGCTTCTTCCCACACCGCGGAACCATGGTGATTCAGCCGCGGGCTCACTGGGACTCATCCTCCTTTTCTGCCTCCGCTTGGTGCAGGTGTGAAGGGACGGGGATTTGCGGGGGTTCCCGCAACTATGGGGTCTTTGGGAGTCCCTATAATAGGGGTTCAAGAATGATGGTATAGCAGGGTCCTCGGGGCCCCTATTACGCAAATGCCCATGAAGGGATTCGGACTCGGAGTAAGTGACATGGCTGTTCTTGGGTAACCCCTATCCGCTGAAGAGGGGCTGCGTTGCGATGTTTTGGCAGACCGACAAAGCCTTTTCTGATTGTGGGAAGTTTTGGTAAGCAGTTTTCGGACATCCTAGCCATTCGGGGATTGTTGTTCAATCCATGTGCCCGTTTAGACTTGCGAGATAACAGTCAGGTCCTTCTGGGTTCTGCCGTCAGAGCCCCGACAAAAGGAAAAAGGTAGCTAAAAAGATGATCACCATGCGGCCGGTGGAGCTAGCTTTTGCTACCCGTCCAGTAGTTACCCTTCATCATACCTTAGATACAACCATATGCAACAATACCTTTACCAGAAGTCGGTGCAGGTAGGTAGCCCAAGGTTTCGATCCTAGAACCCTAAACCCTAAACAAAGTTTACTCCTCGCTTGGCGTAGGGCCTGTGCACGGGCGGAGAAATCAGCGCCGTGTCCACCTACATCGTGGTTTGGCTCCAAAGCGAGGAATGCCTTTTCCGTTGACATTTTGGGTGCAGGGTTTAGGGTTTTTGGGTGTACTGTAAGGGCCTGAGTGAATATTAGGATTTAGAGTTTTGGGTTCAGGGT